ATTTTTTAGAATTTGGTTTGAAAAAAGATTTATCCCATGCACGTGGCATGCTTTACAATTTTCAATACATTACATGTGATTTTAGACTTAAATCTTGGACTTTGCATTTTGTCATTCTAGATAGTAAGAAAGTTGGAATATGAAACACAGTTTCGAAAACTGTTTATATAAATCTGAAATTACTTACGATTTTGAGGTTAATTCTAGTTTCATTATATTTTGGCTGCCTTTGACGCTTTCAGTATTCTATCCTTATTTTGCAAGTTTTGCTTAAAGCATGTGAGCAATCAAATTGAACACAGTTTCTTTTTTTTTATAGATCTCTGTAGATATCTATTAATACAATAAATAAGATAAATGATAAATAATTATGGCCTATTAGTTGTGTTTAATTTGTACGTTTGATGCTTATAATATAAAATTGTTAATTTTTTTTAATTGAGTTGATATCATATAACTCCAAATTATTTAAAACTTATTACATTAAAAAAAAACTTAATAAGTTTTAGAATTGAATTATTGAGGAAAAGTTTATATTGCTTGTATGCAAAAATAATGATAAAATTATACTTGATCTCTTTGCCAATTATAGTAGAAATAGAAAAATAAATAGTAGTCCTTAGCTTTTATTTAATGTAGCAGTATATTCTTGTCTCATTTTTAATAATAATTGATAAAAATAAAACTATTTTAGGTTGACTCGTAATTCAATCACAACGTTAAAATGTCAGGAGGTTTAGACGTATTAGCCCTCAAAGAGGATGATGTTACTAAAATGTTGGCTGCTGGCACTCATCTTGGTGCTGAAAACGTCAACTTCCAGATGGAACAGTATGTCTATAAGAAGAGAGTTGATGGCAAGTAATATATGCTTTAAACATAACTTATATTTTTTAGTATATAGATTATAATTACCATGTCTTTTTTTTACAATTACAGGTGCTGGTGTAAATGTCATCAATCTTCGTCACACCTGGGAAAAGTTATTGCTCGCAGCCCGTGCCATTGTTGCCATTGAACACCCTAGTGAAGTTTTTGTCATCAGCTGCCGTCATTCAGGTCAAAGAGCCGTCCTGAAATTTGCAGCTCATACTGGTGCCACTCCTATCGCTGGACGTTTCACCCCAGGTGCATTCACCAATCAAATTCAGGTGAAAAAAATAATATCCCATTTAATTTAATTTTTTAGTACGAAGATCAAAGTGATGAAACATTTTATTCCAGAATTAATACTTGTTGATTTTATTGGCTTAATCTTTCCTGATTTTGTTGCAATATTGTTAGATATTTTAACAAACAATTCATTGAGTGCATAGTGATCAACTTTGTTTCTAGGCTGCCTTCCGTGAACCACGCCTGCTGATCGTCACGGATCCATCTACTGACCATCAGCCTATTACTGAGGCGAGCTATGTAAATATTCCAGTCATCGCTTTCTGCAATACTGATTCACCACTGCGCTTCGTAGACATTGCGATTCCCTGTAATACCAAGAGTTTACACACTGTTGGTTTGATGTGGTGGCTGCTCGCCAGAGAAGTATTGCGCCTGAGGGGATCTATCCCACGTGAGACTAAGTGGGATGTTGTAGTCGATCTCTTCTTCTACAGAGATCCCGAAGAGGTCTGTACCATCCGATTACTGCTTTCCGTTTTAAGTTTACCATAATGATGAAAAAATAGAATCCAGAAACAAATCTGTTGGTTTTTTTTATGGCTTAATCTTTTCTGATAAACATGGAGCAAATGTTCCTCGATCAATTTCTTTGTAGCGATTGATAATGAGTTACGAAACATCTTTCTAGGCAGAGAAAGAAGAACAGGCTGCGAAAGAAATCGCGCCGGCAAAGGAATTCACCGGTCCAGTGGAGACTGCTCCTGCTCCGGAACCTGGCTGGGTGAACGATGTTGAGTCTACCGCCGTGGCCACCGAGAACTGGGCTGACGATGTAGCACCTCCAGCAGCTGCCGCTATTCCTGCAGCCGGCGCCACACCGTCATTCCAAACAAGCGGTGATTGGGCTGCCCAGGTAAAGGACACATTCACACTTATTTCCGATTAATTAAATTGAATTGATTTACCTATTTCTCTTTCGACTTGTATAGCTCTGTAACTCATTTTTTTATATATGTATTTAAAATATAAAATATATGTATAAAACATAAAACAATCAACAATCAAATGTCGTTTATCCTTGTTATTCATTGAATGTCAATCAAGGACAAAACGACGTTTATATCGGCTATCTATTAAAAGGAAAGCGGCCATTAATATTAATATACGCTTATTAATTGATGTTATCTGTTTAGCCTCCAGAGGAGTGGTCAACACCTGTGGCAACTGCTGCTACTCAAAGCTGGGGAGGTGCAAGCAGCGAAAAGTGGTAATTCTGTGCTTGCTAATATCTCAAGGACAATGTTATACTTTGTACAACGTGTGTAACAAGATTTTGAAACAAACAGTACTACTATGTACTCTTTTTCCATATTTAATCATCTCTTAATATCCTATATCTCCAACATCCTATATCCAAAATTATGATACTATTGAAGTGATTTTCTCTGTTAAGCGCAGTTGATAGGTGAAACATCAGTTTAATAAGCTCAATTGCAAGTTAACTTGTTAATTTGATCTATTATTTACTATGCCTACCGCTTTTGATTCAAGTGTAACTTAACGCATCCATTAACTTTCAAAGTTATTCTTATTTTAAAATTATGTTCTACTATTGTTCGAAAGCAATTTTGCCAGAGAAAAAAATGTTTTCCTAGCACAGGAAAATCGCATTATGCATTCCGTGTATGGATAAATTGTGGACATCCTGTATATTTGATTGTAGAATAATTTTATTAAGACTAAAAAGATAAAATATTAAAATACTATATTTTAAACTTTACAGCTTTCAAGTTCGTTAAAATATATTTAACAGAGCATTATGGGGGCATTCGTGCATAATGGTATAATGTACATTTCAACTCCAAAGAATATATCATATGCAATTTATTTTATTACATATATGTAGATAGTTTATTAATCGAAATAACACCTGTATAATCACTTTTCGAAAAATAGATAAACGTCTGTATTTAGAATAAAATTTGGTTCTTCAAATGTTGAAATGGACAACTTTACATTAGAATAATTGAAAATTGACTTAATCACATATACATGAAATATTTTATACTGTAATAATTGAATTCTAAAATATACCATTTAAGAATAATTCAGAGATACCAATGGAAAATATCAACTTTTTAAAAAATCTTTTTTGTTCTTAAAATTATGAACGTCTAAGATTTTATTCAAATGACATACATACAAAAGTTCGTTTTTTTCCGAATGTTTTTGAACATTTTACGTATTTATGATTTCAGCAAATTCGGATAAAATTTATTATATATTTATAAACAAAAATATTAGAGTCCGACTGAAATTTGCTGAAATTGAACCGAAACACTCAGCTACATGGCAATTTCAACCGAAACCAAAATTAGAAAAAAGGAATCCTATAAAGAATGTATAGATATGCCCATATATCATACATTTATATTATTTATTGAAACAATAATTAAATTTCGGCCGAAATCGAAAATTTAATTTTGGCCAAAGAATATAAGTACTTCTTCAAAAATATCATTAATTATTGAAACAATAAATCTTTTTTATCGCTGCATACTTTCTGAACTATACACAGTGCAATAAGAAACAGATCTAATAATTATATGTTTATAAAGAACTATATGGTTTCAGTCGAAACTGACACGTAATGAGTTTTCAGTTTCGATAAAAGTTTCAATCAGATTCTAAAAAGTATATACTTACAATATTTTTCATTGTCGTTAAAAACATTCTTTCATAGATGTAATCAAAATTATGCACATTTATTACAAAAGTATAATAGAAAAAAATATACATTTTATGATCATCATTTATTTGTAAACTTTGAAATCAGAAGAAATATGATTCCTAAATATAACTTTGGGCTCATTTCAAAATGTCCTCTACGAGAAAAATTTTACTTGATATAATTCAGTATGTATGTCACGTACTATATATATTTCGAATAAAATTTTCTTCGGAGAGAAACGTTTTTTTTTGGAATGTAGTATATAAAACGTTAACTAAAATTTCTACTTAAATTGATTTATGGTAACTATCGTAACATAACACATCAATTTCATTTGCTTAGATACTGTACTGTATCCAAACGAAAAAAATTCCGAAATCAATGATTACAACAATAGAATATAAAGAGATAAACAACAGTATACAATAGAATTTTAGAAATCGAGTATTGTATCATCTCAAGTTATGGAAGTACTCTTCACTGCATCATATCGAATATATAATCATAATATATATGAAAAATAAATGAATCTTTTATATAATGTAATTACAGCAAGAGCCTTAAAAATTTCAGAGAAGTCGGGACGCTAAAATCCATCTATTTTAGTATATATCAGTTTAATGCTGTAATTTTTTTCTAAATAAATTGTACTCATGTTACTAATTCATGTATTCATGTTATTAATTCATCCTCTTTATGAAGTATTACTTCATAGCAATGTTATTTTTAAAAGTAATAAAAGTACAAATATGCCATTTGGTTTTTTCTTTTAGTATTCCAACCTCTCTAAGAATTTTAAGTACCATAAAAATAAAACTTCGCTCCTGTAAGAAACCGGCCTGAAATATAATACTGATAAAAGTTAGAAGATAAATCGCGAATTATCTGTGTCAATATCTATTGTTGAATACTAATGTTTCATAAACGATGCAGTTCACTTCATTAGAACGAGGAACAGCCTAGTACTGGTTCATTCATGTACATTTACAAAATATTAGTATTCCAGGAATGAAATAGAATAGAGATAACCCGCGAAATACATAGCTTCTACTAGGAAGTATCCGTGAGTAAGAGATCATTCGTACAAACTAAAAAAAAAAATTAAAAAAAAAAAGATAAAATGATGTAATATTAATATTATAAAAAAGTAGGATTATAAAAAATATAATGTGTTTTGTAACTGCGTATCCGGCTCCCGGTGAATGAATTTACTCACCAGGAACGCTAATTTGTGAGCATAGTGGCAAGGTGCCGGTACTCTAACGGTATTTGAACAATTGTAATACATATGCGTCAGCTTGTATGTAAGACGTTGTATCTTGTCGGGATCCATACCTAAAGTATCGTAAACAACACTATACGCAGTGGGTGTTACTGTTCCCTGCCGCACCTTCTGCGACACGATAAAGAAATCGTATTTGATTGGACTTGTGATTACATCGTCGACTATTGTGCCCGGTTCCGGATTATCGTTGTTCTCAAAGAAACGTGTATTCAATCGCTTTGTGACTATTATGAAAGCCATTCTATATCTATCTGGACTACCGTACAATCCGTCAAGTTTCTTTTTAATCTGTGTAACCTCACGATCCATTACCTGGGGAATTTGACCCTCACCGACGCCGTCGCGATAAATCACAATGCGCCCCGGTAGAGTTTTGTTTAGCGCGTAGTACGCTTGTGCAGACTTGCAAATGTTGTCAGAAAGGTCATTCGATAATTCCTCACCGGATACATGCACATTTACCGCGCTGAAGTATTGTGTCATACGCCTATTCAGAGTCGCTATTGTAGCACCTGCAACAGTAAATTCAATATTAATGATGTGCATAGATACGTAGAAGTAATAACTGAAGAATTATTTTTTACTTTTGAATGTAAAAGATAAAATGTTGCAAAGTATCTTTATTTTTATATTTATATTCTTATTCTTATAGAACAATTGATAACGAGATTAAGAGAACTTAATGCAATAAATTTTAAAACGCATTTATTAAAATATATATTGATTAAATATTAAATTTTTATTTTAATCAATAATATTTTATTATCTGTATCTTATACATGTAAAGAAAGATCGCATTTTCTTAATCAGTTCTTTCTATATAAATTTTGTTTCGAATAAAATTAATCCAAGAAAAGTCAAGAAATCATAAGGTTAAAACATGATAATAAAAATCGACAATTAATTAAAATTTTTTACGATTCTATTTAAGAAACTATGAAATTACAGGTTGCAATTTCGACATCTTTTGTGTAAAAAAAAAACTTTGAAAATTTTATACTCACCGAAATCTTTGTTCTTCATTGTTGTATCATGGCAAACATCGAACCCGATCATCATTAGCCCTTCCAACGGAATATCTACATACCACGGTGCCCCACCCAATTTACAACTCATCTGTATTGCTATTTTTGTGGCAATAGACTTAATGTTTTTGTGCGTCATTGTTCTTGTCAAGCAAATCTGTGATGGGACAGGTCGGTCAACGCAGCATTTTTTCTTGATCGCAGAGTAGCGATCGCTGCGATTGTTTGATACCGCGCAAAATACCAACTGTGGTATTTGTCTGCTGAGAATTTGTTCCAGTCTTTCGTTATATGTGCCTGGTCTATCATCACGGATATATTCGGATCTTGGTTTATCAATTTGAAACTGTATGCCTGCCGCTACTTTTAATAAAGTTGAAATAAAACTCTGAAATAAGATATCAATTAAAATAAAAATTCAAGATTTAATCAATATTTTAATACATGTTTGAAATATCGAAAATATATATAATATTGAAAACATAATAATTAATTTACACAAGATTTTAAAATTCCTTTTATGTATTTGTAATAATAATAACAGATAATTTAAGATAGATTAAAGAGATAGATATTTAATAAAGATTTAAGCAATGTGTAAAAGCAGAAATATATCAATAAAATACAATTTAAAATACAATTCTTATAAAAATATAAAGATACTTTGAAGAGAATTTTTTTTATCTTTTACATTAAAAAATAAAAGATAATTCTATTATTTTTTCCACATATACATACATGTACCAATGACATGTATATAGTTATGTAATATAATTATATGTGGTATGCTACATTCTTATAAAATACACAGTAAAAAAAGTATTCGTACAGGACAAACATCTGTTTAAAACAATCTTATTTTTATAATATAAATATTAATTAGTAATTTATCAACAAAGAATAAAGAAAATACACAGTTGCTTTTCAAAGAAGTTATGTAATGTGCAACTACTCTTTTTTTGAAAAGCAACTATGCGTTTTCTTTACAGTAATTAATTCATCTTATTATGTTCTGTATAGAGAAGTATTTTTTTTTAATAAAGTTTGAGAGATATTTTATATCAAAATGTACCAGATGAAGTATATAACATATGTACTACATGAAGTATATAAAATATCACTAATTAATGAATTTCTTGATAAAGCACGATCTACGTCAGACGTGGAACGCAGATTAAACGCAGTTGGGTAAACTTCAACTTTCGCCTCCTAGGTCCTATGTATTGTAACTACATTTCACTTGCGACCTGCATTCTGTTTGCAATATAGATCGAACTTAACTCTAAACTTTGCAGAATTATTAAAGGATTGTGTACAAAAATCATATAAAGTTCTTGATCTTTTCAGCTAAATTTCTTGCACAGTTCATCCCTTTTCTTTTTTTTCTTCATTTTGGAGCAAAAAGAGAAAAGACAGTACAAGAAATTAAACTAAAAAGAACAGATTTATAAAAAATAAGATCCTCTTATATAAGCTTCTATAGATAACATCTTATATAAATAAACTCCTTTTTTCTTTTTCATTCAGCTTTTTTTTCATTTTTTTTAGAATACATTGTCCTGGAATCCGGTCGGATATCCGGAAAATATCAGATATCCGACTCAAAAAATTGCTTTTCCAGATATCTGATGTTCTTTTCTGATATCCGGTATTCAGTAATTTGATAGTCTGGTGCATCACTAATATATATTATACACATATGTATTCATGTTCTAAGTACATACATATATATATAAATTTATCTATATATATTTATCTATATATTTATATTTAGTGATCGTAACAGTATTTAACAAAAGATCTGCAATACCTGTTCGAGAGATCTATCCCTTTCCGAAATTAAAAAGACCCACTCTTTCAATCTTGGAGAAATTACACATTTTTTGTTCATCATTGCTCTCGTCCAATCACCTTGTTCGGCATTGGCAGTGACGTCCCCGCCGAAATAAATTTTCTCATTAAGTAATTGCCGCGCAGGAATTTGAAGCAGCTTGTTATCTAGCTGTAAATTCCATTCGGATAATTCTTGCATGATAGTATGATCTTCACAAAGCCGTTTATTAAATCTTAATAATTTCTCCATACGCTTTCCAGGTTGAAGACGTGTTTCAATAGCCAAACTTGACATGAGTCTGAAATTTTCTCTCATGGAATCAGTCAAACCTGTAAATAAACAACAGCATCACATTCGGAATAATAGATAAATATACTTCACATAAATTTATAGTAACACAGAAAACGATTCTTTGCCATTAAAATCGAAAACGAAGTATAATTAAAAAAATAATGAAAAAATAATAAATGGAAGTTAAATCAATAAAACATCAATATAACATACCTGTTGCACGACATAATTCAGGAACTAAATAAACACACTCTCCCTCTCCAGCTTGTCGATCCTTCGTTTTGGATCTCGTCACCAGCATTGGATGTCCAGAATTTCGAATCTTAATACCATATTTTTTTCTATAATAATCTATATATGTTATACTTTCGCCGTTTTTCAAAGGAAATGAACTGCTAGGAGAAGCCGAGAAATCTATGTCCTCAATGCGGTATGTATTGTTATTATAATCGGTAAGAACTATAGTGCCGATTACAGCATTACAGAAATTTTCCTGCAGGATACATATACACATATATATTTATTTATTTTCGCAATGCAATAAAAAAAATATAAAAGTATTATTATGATACAAATAATTAAAATAAAATAAAAAACCAAAATAGAATAGATAATTTCATTTAAAGGTCCTATTCCTCACTACATAAGAATACATTATAATTATATAATGTAAGAAAGAAACTCACATGATTTCTCGCTTGTAATTCAAGTATAATTCAAGTATAGTTACAATGAGGAAACTATAACAATGTAACAAACTTTAATTTTCACGAAAAAAAGTTATTTTTATAGAAGAATTCTAGCTAAAATTTAAAAAGTTTTAAGACAAAGTGTAACTTACTCTGAATCTACCACGGTCTTCTCGATACAAGTTATTCAGGATATCTCCCAAAGTTTCCAATCTCATAACCTTATTCGATATCTCGACACACATTAAAATATCTCGTTCATGTTGACGAATAGATGATATATATCCTGGCCACAATTCTAATTTGTGTTCCGGCAAAATAATCTACATTAACACGATAGAATAATTATTTCTTCAGTGTTTTCTCTGAACACAACAGTGCATTTGTGAATGTACTTACTTTACTCTCAGGATCAAAATAATGGCGACCGACCAATTTTAGCTCTAAAACTTCGTAACATTTTCTCACAAGTATGTTAAAAAATTGAATGTAATGAGGATCTCCTACTAACATATCACCAACAAGACGAACAGTAATTGTTATATGTTGTTCATCTGATTGTCGCGTTGAAGTAAATACCATTTGCTAAAAAATATTTCTTAAGATTAAAAATATTTTTTAAGATTATATTTAAGCACTTGAAAGATACATAAACGACATTTATGAGAGATAAATACTGTATTATCTATGCCTTTGCTACTTACATCAGATAATCGACGGCTTGTATACATTACAGTGCCATCAAAGATATATGCACCGATTTTCTTTTGATGTACTTTAAGTAAAGCTTTACGCACAATTGTGCGATCTTCTTCAGGCGAAAAATCAACACGATATTGATAAAGAGCCCAATCAGTCGCTTTAAGTACTTTAAAGTAATTTACTTTTATTACTTTGTGAGTGCCAGATGTGCCTGAAAATTAGAGTATGTACAAAAATGTAATTTTCGTAAAATAAAACAAAAATTTTGTATGTTAATATTGATATCAAATTCAGAACATTCGAAAATAGACATTAAAAAATAATAAAAAAATGAAAAATAAGAGTTAATCACAAGCTGGTTGTTATGTATAATAACATTTTTATTCGATATAACAATATAATAAATATTTCAACCTTCGAAACAAATATACGTTTGTTTTATTTCTACTTAGGTTTATCTGTGTTAATTTAAGAGATAAAAAGGCGTAATCACTTATATGGAGACATTCTGTGTATACATTATTATATTATGTATTATTGCTTACCTCTCTTATTCTCTACATGATTCGGTTTTGTGACAAAAATATCTGCAGGTAAGATTCTTTTGCCACGAGCTGCTCCTCTACCAGATGCCACAATAGCTACAGGACCAGCTGCAGCATCAGCTACAGCACCAGCGCCAGCAGCACCAGCATCTCCACTACCACCAGCTACATAAAAAATTCATTCTTCATTTAATATCGAAGAAAGAACATGTCTACGACATAAATTTCTAAAATATTTCGATTATAAAAATATATATAATCGTAAACATCTAAAATTGTGTTATACAAAAAATATACTTATTTCATTTACGTATCATAAAAAATGTATGTACCAATGTCTTTTTATTACAGAAGAAAGAATCTAAATAAAAATCTTATGTGTATATACAATTATTACACAATTTTATTATTAATTTTACGTCTAAAAAAAATTTTATTGAAATAATGAAAAATAAAATAAAATAAATTTCAACGTATTATGTTTACACTGTATAGAATAAACTTAAAAATCATAAAATAAAATAATGTACCAGTAGGTTGAATACTAAGTTTCTCCAGACCTCTGCCTATTTGTGCAATTGTTGCACTGTCACCTTTTTCACCAATACGTTGTATTAGACCGCGTCCAGTACTCTGACAAAAAAAATTTTGATTTATTTAAAAATTGACGACTGTGTTTAATTTTTGGCTTTCGACTTTTTATTTACAATTAATAGCTTATTCTAGAAGACCCATAAAGGGAGATTCTACTTTGCAAGGTCAAAAAATTGATTTTTAAAATATTTTTTTGCATCTCTGAAGTGTAGAATATGCCTGTAAAAGGATTTTGCAATATTCAAAACAATCATAACAATTATGACTTGTTAAACTGAATTTTGCATCGGTCGAAAATTAAGTGAGCTTAACGGTATTACGCGCAAAAAGAGCAAGGCTCAAAAGAAGAGCTCAAATGCAGCAAAATTTGTTCTTTGAACAGAGGCAAAATTGACATGATTGATGAACCAAGAATCGCTGATTAAATGTAAGTTGCAAAATATCATAGTTAACTAAAATCATTATAAAATAAAACTTTATTTTTTCGCAATCATTTTTTCGAATTCATGTTTTTTAAACTTGCAGAAAATGTACAGCTTCAATCAATTATCAAAGATTAATTTAATGTTTTTTCCTACGAAAAAAATAGACAATTTTTATGAGGTCATGAACTTAGAAATGTTATAAATTTCAAAATAACTATTTCTATGAACAAGTCAAAAATGAAAAAAAGTTCGTAAAAATTGACAATTTCAAATAATTGCTATTCTATACATTTTTAAATTTTTTAAATGGAATGAAGTTCATGGCCCCACAAATTTAATATATTTTAATAATTTCATTGATTTTTTTGTCTCAGATGAACTGTCGACAGCCAGAATTTTTTGCCAATAATTGGCCATGTACGCGCGTTGATGCATCCCTATATGCTACAGCCATTTATATTTATAAAAAAAAAAATTGTACGCTGAAATATGTAAAACATTATTTGGTATCTACTTCCTTTCCTTATAAAAAATTAATAAAAAGTACATAAATTTGGAACCTCTAGAGTAGAACGTCTTCTTAAAAAATAAGTCTTCTTAAAAATTATTATTATAATAGTTATTATCAGTTGTATATATACATTACCAACAAAATTAAGAGATTACCTATTTTGCCTCCAAAAATAACAAACTGTTTTGTAATTTTTTTTATATAAAGAGACTTTTGTTTACAAACTGCACTTAAATGATAAAAATTAAATAATTTACACGTTATCATTCATTTAATATTTTTAAGAAATGTTAATTAAAAACATTAATGCAATTTACATCTTTCGTATTTGAAGCAACAACTTTGGGTAAAACATTTGCTTAATTCTATTGTAGCAGATCCGTCACGCATTTTGTGGAGATTTCACGATCAGATTTATGTTTCTTCATATATCATGTATAATACATGATATAGGTGCACTGTAAAGAGGAAATTTAGATGTTTCTATTTGTTTTTTTTATTTTAATATAGTGCTATTCCGTGAATAAAATAAAAAGATATTTTTTCTTCAATGTTGAATAATTTGGTAAAAAAAAGTCATACAACATTCAACAAATACGCAAATTGAAAATAAATTAATTTTTTCAAGAACTGTATACTGCTTTTGTGATTTTCAGCGAGTAGTTGTCAAAATTTTCAAAAAATGCAATTTTTTTCTTTAACGCTTTGACACTTTATATCTTTGAAACATTATGATCATATGAAATTTTCGTCTTAAATTTATATGAGAAATCACTGCTTAAAATCTTTTACAGTACTTAGTATCTGTTCTGTATATTACCGACTGTGCAGGTTGTCCTGGTCTGCGAACAGCTCCAGTGCTCGCAGATGCCTGGGCATGTGGAAGTTGCTGCTGTTGCTGCTGTTCCTGCTGATGCGTAGAACTGGTCTGCTTTTGTGTTGCCCGTCCAAGGCTTGCTCTTCCTCTTCCTCCTCCTCGTTGAGACATTTTTATCTAAATAATTGAAATGTTGAAAATTAATATGATCGACAGGAAGAGAAAATAGAACAAAGACGTATAATCTCTAAAAATAATTAAGAATAGAAGTTCAACAAAAAATTTAAAGGTTAAAAAATGTTTTAAAAAATAATGTTTATGTTAAATATATATCTATTAAGATCGACATAATGCATAATATCGTTATACACACGTACTGCGTTCCATTCATTGCAGGTAATAAAAATCTATAATATATTTGAACTATAAATTTTTAGTGATAACAATGGAACGCAGTCGTAACGTGCCCGGATATTTTCAGACTCAAAGTGGGACAACTTTATGTTTGGAAAGAGAATATGTGAGGCTGTAAAGATAATTACAATAATAATTTTTTGAAAAAATAATACAATTATTCTCACAGTTTGATATCCATATTTGACAAGATAGCTATGGCGGGACAATCCGAGAGCAGGACATCTAGTCACATTTTATATGTATGTTCTACATGATACATGTACATATATATAATGTTTATATACGTATATATTTGAAATTAAATAATATATTATAATAATTTTACCAAGTTATATTGAACGTTGAATATCGCTTTTAATTTTCGGATTATAACATCAGCAATTTCGATTCTTTTTGGCAGTGTTCTGAAATATTCTGGATGAAGCTGTATAGGAGCTTCTTCGATTTTGATCGGCCCGGGATCGAGTAGCTAATAATATGAGAAATTTCGTTTGAAGAGAGAGGGAATTATGATACTAATGGACAACAGATTCCTACCCGAGTGCCAACCAGATGTCACTCCATTCTTGTTCAGTAAACAAGGATGATGTAACACCCAGGAAACTCAGGTAGAAATCCAAACACATCCTTGATTGGTAGGAATTTTCTGGTCTCTTCTCCTAAAGCTAATTAATCTATTTTTTCTCCAACCCAAATTCTGAAGTGTATGTACATACGTTGCAATAAGTTAAAGGACTATGGCACAAAATAAAATTAATTAAATTTTATTAGATTTCCGTGTGTTCTGTCTCGCCTGTTTTGATATTACATAGAGCACAAAAAACTTAAGATTACATAATTTCGGATAGGTTGAAATCGTGTTATTTCTATCGCTATTCCCTCGCATTGCATCCGAGGCTTTACAACTTTATCACTACTACTACTGCTCATTATAGACGATGCTTGAAGTCCATTCTACAATTATGTAAGCGTAGTTGTGATTGTAGTTGTAAGAATATTTAACTAATCAGTCAAATATGAATAAAATACGCGACTGTCGCTAATCAATTCTTACTACACCATTTAACAACCATGTTTACGAAATTATAGAATGGGCTTTAGACAGATATAATTTGTTTCACTGTAAATTATTGCATTAATTCAGAACTAGTTCAAAATTCTTCGAAAAAGAACAGACCTAGAATTACTATGTTTCGATGATTTCAACGCTTCCATCCTTGTTTTATGTCTAATGAACAATAAAGATCAAATGATAATCATATAAGGGTGCTATTAGGACACGTTCGGAAAAGCAGTAGCCAATCAAAACTTGCGCTGGTAGTCGACAATTTCGGCTTTTTGTACTATTTACTACCAACGCGAGCTCTGACTACTTCTTTTCCGCTTTCTGTTTTTCCGTCAAGGAATAAACGCGCCCTTACTTGAAGCGCAGAAATGCAGAAATGCGGAAGACAAAATTAATTAAACTTTACTAGATTTCCGCGTGTTCTGTTCTCCTAATATTACATGGAGCACAATTTGAGCGGAAAAATAGAACGGGGAATTAGAAATTTTTAACGATATTTATTGATTAAAATGCTTGTATTCAATACATAAGCTAAAAAGTTAAGCATATTAATAAAAATTGCAATAAATTAAGTGAATACAATTTTTTAAAATGAATACAAAAGTGTATTTGTCAGGATAGAACAGATACATTTACAGCAGAACGGAATAGCGATTAATCCTAACTCTGCAGTCATTACCCTGCTTTTTTTCTGTTTGTGATTAATCTCGCTGTTTCGTTCCGCTGTAAATTTCCACTTGTGGGACGCCAATCTCACTATATCGTTCTGCTTTTGCGCAAAAATTATCCTCCATGTAATATTAAATCAAAATCATGCATATACCTAGCGAACAAACAGTAAACAAACTTTGTTATTCATTACATAAATAATTGTTATTAAAAGTGTATATAATAAAAGTGTAATTGCTATGTGCAAATAAACATCGAATCTAATTGAATGCTTAGTATTCGGGCGATTAAAAGTAAACTCAAACACGAATGTCCGAACATGTTCGTTTGCTAGGTATACGATTGGTCGCGCTGTTCTGTTCTGTTGTAAATTTCCACTTTATGGATGCCAGTCTGAAAAATACACTTTTGTATACATTTAAAAAAAATTGTATTCACTCTTAATTTATTGCAATTTTTTTCCAGCATGCTAACTGGCTGCAAGACAGAGAGATTGTCCAATCTATAGCCAATCAACAGGCTAGAAAAATTTGTCGTACAACACAATAAACAAATAATTATTGATCTGTTTTCTGTTTCTGCACTAGAACCCTCTTTCTCTTATAGAGTAAAGTCTCTAACCCCTCACAGAGATTATGACAGGATCTAAGATCCAAATCCGTTGTATGGTTTTCGACTGTAATCCTTTTTTTTTACTGGAGAGCCAAACAGAGGAATAATAACAACTCTCTTTCTCGTTTTTAACAAATATCAAACATATACCTCAGTTTAAAGTTCCAAAAGAGGTTCAGCCACAGAAAACGAAACTTATATAATATTAGCCTTAAGGTCACACGACACAGCAAATTTCGTTACAACAGAGATTATCCGAGAATCGCTTCCAACAAGTTCGGACATGTATCACATAAACAGATCACACAATGATCGATGACATAAGAGCAGGCAGTCAAAAAATGACGACTCAAGCAAGAAAGGCTTTACAATTGTAGGTCACATTGTAAAATTCCAATAAAAGGATAGATAAAATTTTACAAAGAATATATTTAAAAAAAAATTACGTAAAATAGGGGGAACAAGATTTTGGAGATCTAGAATCTTCAAAGCCCGTAAGTTAGATATTGGAGATCGAGGGAAAACTGAGGAATAAAAATTAAAATTCAATCATAATCAATAATTAATTTTGACCTATTTCGTTCTGAATAAATGACTAATCTCCAATTCACAATTTTCAATTTCTAACATGTACGATCTGATAAGTTTTACAAAATTAAAATTTATTATGAAAATTACATACTTTATCAAACCATCGTTCATTTATCGTTGCTATGCAACGTATTAAACAGAAGTCAGACACTTTTTAACAAAGATCGCCTGGCGGCGCCGGGCATTCCCCGCTCATTTTTTTGTAACTATAAAAATTTCCAGTCGTCTTTCCGAGACGGTAGAAACGTCTCTGATGCTCTACTCGAAATTATTATAATTCTCAAATGCCATACTTGTTTCACATTACACTTTTCTTAGATAACATCCGCTATTTCTTCGTGTAACACAAATAACGCGCGCTTAAATATACGAATATTTGTTCTTAGCGTGTCAGTCGTGATTTGTTTGGAAATTTTCTTGTATTCTTTTAGGTCCTACGATAGAAGTAGCGGCTCCTTCGCCTTGTCGTTTTACTCGGATAAACTACATAACAAGATCGAGCGAAAATTAAACATGCTTGCATTATTTAACTCGATACTAGAAGACCCGGTACTTACAAAACGATATAATCTCCGTTACGAATACCTGGTCCTATTACGTCGAATTAAGTCGTACCAAGGATGATCTAATTCGACGCACAAACATACAAATCGTTGTACAAAATAAAGCGAAATGGATCTCTTACCTGTTGATAGCTTCCTCTTTTTTTAACGCTCTCTTTCGTACAACCTTCTCGAACGTGTCTCCAGAATCAGAAACCTCAAATCACCATGTTACCACCTACAACGTCCAAGAACAAATATACTGGCGAACATCACTCCGAAAACTGAGAAGGGCGTGTTTTGCTACGATAAAGATTTGATTGGTAAGACCTAACAGTCATGTGACGTAATAGCCAATGAGCGCGACGCTGCGTAACACGTGACTTTTGAAAATATGGTCTTACCCACGCGAAAAGCTTTCAGGCCGATTTTTTTTTCAGAATTCGGGACACAGCGATGTTACGGCAATAAGCCCAGACTTATCGACTACGGTACGCGAGAAAATAAAGCAAGAAAGACGGCCTAAGCCGATAATTCGACGATAATGTTTGTCGAAGTAATATCTCAAGCGGCCAATAGGAATGCTTGGCTTAAAAGAATGCGTTCATTTGACGCAACATTTTCGTTACAAAAATCCCTAGAAGTAAAGTTCGTTTTCCTAGGGAAAAAAGTTACATAATGCCTCGAAAAGGACTCGAACATCGATTCATCGATTATTTGTATTCGTCCCCGACGTTGACGTCGTTGTTCAACCATCGTTCGACTTCTAAATAGCAAAGACGTCTGTTACATCTCGTATGTATATACATACGTATCTTGTTTTTCGTTAAATCGCGGAAGCTGTTGTCTTCAGGAAAAGATTACTGCTGCAGTGTGATTTTTCCTTGTAGTTTTTCTCACGAAGAAATTGCTGTAGTTTTAACGAATTGAATGAAGAGCTGTCGCTATATATATATATATATATATATAGTTGACCGCCTATTCCGACACTTTGTTTTGCGGCAAATGTCATCCCTGATGAACATGTGATGATGTGATCGGTGTAGGAAGTGCCGAGATAATCAGATTTACCATGATACCAACGTCTCGCGAGTCCATCGTTAATCTACTAAATGTCAAAGAGAATCCTGAGGACGAGGCGAATACGACGAACGAGGGCGAGAACGTGTGCGACTTTCAACCTAACCTGCCGGTTGAGACGTATCATGCCGTGTACATTCCATTGGAATACAAAGACCAATCGGATGGAGAAGGTAATTAACGCCGAGTCACTAATTATTTTTGTAGATTATTAAATAGACACATTGCGCACAGGTCTGCTTTTAATCGTGCCAATTTTATTAAGAAAGAGAATGCAGTGGTGAAATCGTAGGACTAAATAATTATTACTATTATTAATATTATGATTCCTTCTTACAGAAACTCTTCATGTTTATCTCAAAATGCAGGATGCTTTAAAAGTGATAAACAGGTATAAAAAAGGCCGTTTGAAAAGTTTTAAGAATCATTCTGATGCTGTAGCATATGCAACAACTGGATACAAACAATCTTCTTCCAATCAACCTGTGACAGCTACTGTAGCACAAGAACAATCCAATAATTTTAGAGCACCAAGCACCCAGGATTTAATAGCTTTTAAATGGTTAATTGAGAATGGGGATGTAAAGGCTGTGAAGAATATTGTATGGGAAAATCCAAGATATCTAATTAGTAGCGGGGATACGCCTGCTCTTTTGCAGGTAAATATGTAACTTACAACCAAATTTCTTTATATTTTACTATCTTATTTTTTTATCCTAATGTTTAAATATCAAGAGTGTAAATACTTTTATTTGTATATGCAAATAGATACAGAATTATATTTTTACATGTAATCAATATTTCTGTTGATTTTCATTGTTATTGTGTCATTATTAAATCAATAAAATTCTAATATAAAATTATACAATAAATATATTTACCACACAAAATGAAATTATAATTTCATATTAGAATTAATGCATAGAATTATGTAACAAACATATATATATATTTTTTTTTAATATAGAAAACACTTATATTTTTAGATGGGCTCTCGATATAATGCTTTACATATAGCAGCGAAAAAAGGTAAACCAAAAATGTGCGAATTCTTATTAAATACCGTCGGGGATCCCAAATTTATGCAACGGCATTATGGGGAAGATAAATGTAAAACATACCTGAATCTTGAACAGATTATGCAGGATTTATATTTAAATACACCAGACAAAGGACTCAATGAGACCCCATTACATTTTGCTGTTAAATTTGGCTTTAAAGATGTCGTTCGGGTTCTTGTTTCCTACTCCCAATGTATTAAAACCTTGAAAAATAAGTATGAACAGATGCCTATAGATGTACGTTTCAAATAAATTCTTTATTTAGTGTTATAATTCGCATCTTTGCAAAATTAAGATATCGTTCTCGGAGACATCTTATATATAAGCTCCTGATTATAGATAATATGCAATAGAAAACGTGAGGAAGATGAAGCTCTAAAGCGCGAGATACGTATGTTGCTAGAAGATCAATTCTATGTACCTGTATTAAGAACAGAAGGTAATGCATGTCCACCTATCATCGGAGAACCGTTTTCGCCAAATAATCCGCTTGTAAGTATACATTTGCATGAGCAAAATCTTGGAAAAAAACACGGATATATTATATTAGTCGTGTAAAGAATAGAACTCTTTTGTTATTTTTATTGTTTTTACTATTTTCAGAATTTGAACAAAGATCCTATCAGTCCTCATGTAGAAGTAAGAGCATTTGCCGGTCCAATGACTAAAACACAGGCAGCAGAATTTCGAAAAAAGTGGAAAACGCCACCACGTGTTACTCCTAAAAAGGGACAAGGCGACGCACCTGGTATTATGAATAGTCCTAGTATAGTTCTAAGGTTGCAAGATACAGAAAAAGGATTGGAACGTGTTGGAAGGTATGTATACATTATAAATCTAAAATTTATTATTTAAAATTTAATTACGTAAAATTTATTACTACATATTAACTGATAATATTAATATATTTGCAATGTATATATGTGTGTGTTAGATATTTTCAGAAAATATTCAGAAAATTGCAATTGTTACAATTAAGATAATTTATTCTTATTATGTTGCTCAATGTAGGTCATAAAAATCAGTAGATAAATAAATGATAATTTCATATTATCTTTTATTATACCTTATTTATTAAAATAAAAGTAGAAAAAAATAATTTGGTTTCAAAATCTGGTCACAACAATATAAGAATAATTAGGTCATGAGCAAGATTGAGATGTGAATATAAAATGATTTCTTTAATAAATATAAAAGATGTAACGTTTCGACCTTATTTAATTTTTATCAGCCATTGAGATGAACAACTATAATGATGTATAGTATAAGTACATAGTATAAGATATTGATAATTAAGTAGTATTAATAAAATAATATATAGTATAATAATTTTTTGACTATTGGCATTTAAGGTAGATACAATAGATACTTGTAAAACCTGTCAATCTCTAAATCAATCTCTAAATCAGTCTTGTTAATTAATTATATTTTTGATAAACTACTATATCTCTCTATTATTTATAGACTCAATTTTACATATTTAATAATTTAATATTGAATTTAAATATTAAATTATATAATACATTGTAAGAATAATATTTCATTGCTTACTATCCGCATTTAAAATTCTTTGGTTATATTACTTTCAATATTTTTCAAGAAATTGGCCGATGAAGACTACGTAAGGTCGAAACGTTTCATCGTTTATAATATTTTATATTTATTTAAACAATTATTTTATATTTACATCTCGATCTTCTTTGTCTCATTCTTATTATTTTGCTTTACAAATACGAGCGATTCCTTTCCTTTATTAATAATCTGTTTTCTTTTGATATATATTTTCTAGAGATCTTGCTGAAGAATATCAAGTGCTTTGGAAAGAGTATTGGCCATTTTTGAAAGATTTTGTTGATTTTCGGAGCGACGATGGATTAATGAAACTTGAAAGATATTTGGAGGAAAGATTTAAGAATAAGGAACAATTATTTTATTCGATGGTATAAAAATCTGTTCAATAATACGTTTTTAATGTTTACATTAATTAATTCTTTTAATGTTTATATTTTTTAGATAAATCCGATTAATAATGTTTATGCACTAGCAAATTGTGAAGGTGAACCAATAAGTTGCCAACAGACGCCAAAAAAAATAGACGCCAACGACATAGAATACGTTTGTGATAAATTAAAGATGTGCTCATTAACTACTGAAATTGATAATAATGAAGAAGATACAGGTATCACATGTTTAGTTTCTCTATAGAATCTAATTTTTCTAAATCTTATGTCTATATCTTCTTTCTCCTGTGAAATTATGATATCCCAGGACTCAGATATAATGAAAGAAATAAGGAACAAGGAATAACAGATTTCATTCTATCCGTGCATTCCGGTATATTCGGTTTCTGGTAGGTTGAAATCTATTATTCTTTATTTCTTTTATTGTCTGAATCCGTTTTTAATTTTTTTTTATTATAATCCAATTAATGTTAACTGTTTATCTTTCAGATAGTTTAGAATTTTTTACACCTCCATCCTCGCCAGAACTTGTTCAAGACGATTTTGATGATGATATGCAAGATGCAGAAGAAGGTCCTTTAATATTTATCGAAGGGTAAACAAATTTCTTTCATTATTTTTTACACAAAAACGAATATATTTCATATCATTGTTGATGTTTTTAGGTCTTCACCAACGAAATTAGATTATGCTGTTTACACTGCACTTTCATCTACGATTTGTCCTGATACATATCCTTATATTTACCGTTGGCGACATGACATGCAGCTAGCTATGAAACATGATCCTTACAAGTATATAATATTGCACTAAATTTTATTTTATTTTTTTAATGAATTGTACTTTATCGATAAAAGCTATGACATTGTTTGTAATGTCAGTTTCATGTTAATACATAAATCTTTTTTTTCTAATTTACAGATTCAACAAGACATCCCTCAGGAAAAAACTATTTACAAATTAAATATCTATGCTGTTCAATAGATTTACTACTTTTCGCGCATAGGAGACAACATAGTAAGCAAAGTGAGGATGTTGAGATTATTTCACCCGCACAATTTTCTAAGCTCATACTGAAATGTGCTGTGTTTACATATACGATACAGAATACATCTACACTTTGTCCACTATGTCGCCTTCTATGCGCAAACGATGATAAAACTCTCGTTGAACAAAGTGTAATCTCAAGAGTCTGAATCGCCAAATTTTAGATTAACAGTTGGATTGTTTCTTATTCTATATTAACAAAGAAAAAAAACTAATTTACCTGAAGTTAACTAATTGATGTTGACGCAACTCTCTGACCTCAAAAAGTTTTAAACTGTGTTAATGTCGCGTAAAATATATAGCGCTGAGACACTACTGTGTCTCCAGATATGAACCTTTTTTGCACAATATTATTGGATAAGCAAATCTAATATTCGAGGTAAGATAAGAGGATATATTTTGAGATACTTTTACAGAGACTCGTAACTAGAAGCCTTCGTGCTCAAGTTTTTAAAATTAGCATAACTTCTTTTTATTGTTCATTGTCTATAATTATAATAAATACTCATTATTAAAAAATACAATCGCCGATTTCCTCAAGTTTTGTCTCTCCATCATATCTTAAGCAAAAAAAAAATGCATGTTTTTATTCATACTTTATAATGTATTTATTATTAATAACTTTTATTATATATAATAATATTACTTATTTAACAGAACATATGTGAATTTTGCTTTTGTTAATATTGTCGTAATCACGACGTACATTATATCATTTTTTAATCATAGTTTTTCTTGTTTATTGTAATTTATATTCTCAAGATTTAATTGCGACGATAACTTGTTTAATGTAATCAAGCGTTAATGGGAGTGGGCGGTGTCTGTTTTAATTGCAAAATGATCGAACGCATCCGGGAAACGTCCTTGGAAGTGCGGGACGATTTTGGATTGAATTCGCAAAGTTTGGCGATGCGCTCCCACTCAGTGCCTGGTTCAACCTCATCTGCCTCGGCGACAAATTGCTTTTCCGCATTCCTATTCGTGAAGAAATATGCATTAAATCAATGCCAAATCATGCATTGTGTATCAGTTAGTAATGTAAAGAAATGAGAAATTAAGTGATATTTCTATTTCATTAATATATCGTAGAGCCTTGAGAAAAAGATTTAAAAAAAAATTATATTTTGATACTATGTGATACGGACACAAGTGTAACTTGTAGCTATTAAGCTTGATGTAAGAGTTACGCAATCACAATTCTTTATAGTATTCATATTGTGCGTAAGCAAATAATGCTTAATTAATAAGCTTTTCTTTCTTTCGACTTATAGAAATAGTTTTAATACGAAAGGCAATAGAGGCAATTTATCATTAACAGCATTCAAGAAATAAAGTGCATTTAACTTAATCAGTTTATGAGTATTATAAAATATAGATACTCTTTTTGAAAATAACTTATTAAGCAACATCATTTAGTGCAATCTCGAAGTGACTCTAAGAAGCCATATGATATATAGTACGTGTATGAGAGAGAGGGGAAGATAGATAGAAAGGGAGGAGGGAGAGAACTGTAGTTTATACCTGATTTACATTCAATAGGCAATATAGGTTGCATTTAGTTTGGATATTATGAGACTAGGACTGCGTTTGTATTTTGCGCTCACTTGCTGTAAGCTTCTTTCTATCTTTCCATGTAATGAATGAGAAAAATAGAATGAAGCTTACAACGCGTGAGCGCCAAAAGCAGCCCTAGTCTCAGAGTTTGCAAAGCAATTCGTGTTAAATAACACATAAATGTAATGCAATGCATGTTTTCATGCGTATAAAGATATTTTAACTTACTTGGCTGACTCCCTAAGAAGCGAAACGGAAATAACACAATTAAAAACTTAAAAAATCTATACATAGCATAATAATGGACTAATCCATATTATTTGTACTTGACTAATTGTAAGTCAAATGATATAATAACTTAGTCCAACATTAATTATATCTCTTAATAATATTTTACATTTTTAATATATTATCTTTTTAAATGGAAATATTACGTTGTTATTAGGGATACAAGCCTTGTTAAGTATGTTTAATAGATGGTCATAAAATATTCTAATTAGCAATCACAATTTAGTTCAGTTATTTTAATTCAGATAATTTAGTTCAGTTTTTTAGATTGTCAATTTTTTTACGAAATAAAAGTGTACAAGAAGAAAGAAGATAAAAGATTAGTAAAATTACCTGTTAGTAGTCTTCGTTTTATTAATAGCTTCTGCATGATGCCTATACCATTCTTCTAATTCTTTCTTTGCAGCTTCTCTCCATTCCTCTTTCTTTTTCTCTTCTTCTGTATCTAAAAAATTTGCACGCTTATTAATTATACATTCCTAAAATATTTTTACAATAAAATTGCGTTACCTTTTTCTTCAAGACGTGCTTTTTGTTCTTCCCTCCACTTTTTAATCTTTTCAGGTTCCTCCTTAACTGGTGGAGGAGGTGCTGGTTCTATGTATATAAGAATATATAAAAATCATAAAGTTATTGTCTTAGGGTTGGAGGCCATTATTTTGAACGAAACATCTAATAATTACTTTGATTATTGTAAAGCAATAAAAAAGGCAAACCAAGATTACTTATACCTATAGTTCCATAACTTAAAAAGTCGCAATATTTCCTAAACGAAGAATTTGCGAGCAAATTTCCAAAGAAAAATCTTATTTACATATTTCATGTTTTATGATGTATCTGGGTTTTGTGTGTTATAGCCATAACTATTTTTAAGATAAAGATGTTATAAAATAATTAATTTTATACCTGATGCTACCGATACTTGTCCTTCTACAGACTGCCCAATGGTATCTACGATTTCAAAACTGCCTTCAGCGTCACCTCCTGGACCAACTTTCAAATTTCCAAATTTTCCAGATAGCTCATCTATAAAATATTATTTATGTATTATTTATTAAATATTATTTATTATTTATAATTTTTGTATTTGCACCTATATAGCATACTTTATCCGAAAGACATTCTAAGAACATCCTTAAGACTCAGAAGATATAGGGATGTCCTCTGAACATCTTTAGGCCATCCTTTGGAGGTTTATGGTATATAGATGCATATAATATAAATGAATCAGATAGATTCAAATGTATACAATACAAAATAAACAATATGTATCTAAATTATAGAAATATTTTCTACTTATTATTTATACATATAGACATGTGTTTACCTTCAGTTTGACCTGCTGCAGCCAGAGTTACAGCCATCGGTGTAATGTCATCTTCTAAACCAGCTAACTGATCCTGCTCCCTTGCCAAGAACTCTGCAGCTGGATCTACATCAGGTTCGTTGACAAAATTGTCGCCAAATGCATCCATTGTCTGAAAAACATTGAAAGGAAATAAAGTCTCTCATGCAATATATATATATATAAAATCAAACGTCAGCAACATAAAATATTTAAGGTTAACCAAACCTCTTGCTAATCTAAACAGAACTAATTTAACGTTTATTTATCTGAAAAAAACTCTTATTACTTGATTGCTTACTTGGATAGTACTTGGCGTAAATTCTCGTCTGAGAAAAACTATAGAATGTGAAACACGACTTTTCGTTAACAGAGAGAAAAACACCTAATTAACACCTCCAATTTGCTTCCTCCTTACGCCCAGGATCGCTGGTAGGGATGTTCGATCCAAGATCGATTTTTTAGAAAATCGATTCTTTTACCTTCGATTCTCGATTTTCCAGATCGATTCTTAAGCTCCAATTAAATCGACGAATCGATTCTCAAATCCAAGATTGGTCTTGAGTTCTTGATCGTTTCTCACTCGCTCTCGTTGTGCAGGTATGTATGATGGAAGAAACTCGGATGCGCTATTACGCATATATGTGGCAAACATTTTCTAACAACTAACATCAGTGACATCTTATCCGTCATGTTGCCGCGGTTATTTAAATTAGGCGCACGTCAGCTATGTCAGGATACTCTAATAAATCATAAAATTAGTATTATATTATTAGTTTCTTTTTTACTCTTAATAACTTAAATTTTTACAGTAACGCGAACTTCTATAAAATCAACAGTTTTGAATGGTATCTCGTCGGTATAGAAATTCTCGTGGATAACCCTCGACATGTTACTTCAAAATTACCGTGATGCAAATGTTTAAATGGCCGCATTGGTATCTGCGCAGACCATGCGAAATTCGTCTCGAGGTCGAGCGCATCTTGATCTCTTCCACTATGTAGTAACGTATGTATTTTTCGAAACCGTATTTCGAGCCTATTTTTCATCCCAAAATTTAATCTGCTTCTTTTTAATCTTTATATTATGAGTAGCCGGCTACAACTACTTGAAATTTTTGACTGTTTTTTGAAAGACCCACAAGACTCTATGGCCATGATACAGATGGAGGGATATTAATATATTTTTTAAATATTTATGTTAATATTGTTTAATTAAAGAAACCATCAATTTAAGGTGCAAGTTTGAAAGAAGTTAAAATTATATGAATTTTAACGTTTTGTGTGTATATATATTTTTAAATATAAGAAATAGTTACAAAAATAATGTAGAATTTATTGTAGTAAAAAAAGATGTATTATAATATATATTATAAGTTACATGTTATCTTAAGTTTCCAATAACAATAGATTTTTTTTATGCTCTCACAACTGATAGCATAGTTGATTGACTTCATTAGTGATCTAATTTTCTTATCAAGATGGATCTTTGGTTGAGAATCGTCACTTGTACTTTCGTCCAACAATCGCCATTTTAGTGACCTAAATGCTAGTAAGTCGTTTTAGCAACGTGATATCGTGAATGCACATAATTGATAACTGTTGATACTGCTTTGGATATACAGATAAGGTTCTTATTTATGAAATTAAGGTGACTCAGGGTTATTTTCAATCATGCAATCATTGAACATGCTACGAGACAATAAAGGAGTACTGAAGCAATTTTGCAATTGCAAGATCTTGCGTGACAGCAGGATTGAGACAGAGGATCTATGGGTGCGAGATGGAAAGATAGTGAATCCGGAGAAGATTTTCTATGATGAGAAAATCAAGCCAGATGTTAGAATAGATTGTGGCGGCTCTTTGATCTCACCAGGATATATTGATGTGCAGATTAATGGTATTAAATCAAATAAATTCTTTTGTACAACATATACTTTACTTGAGTAAAACTAGAGATTTTTCACACGTACATATCTTTTATTACTTTTGTTAAACAAAAAATTAATAATTTGTATAGATTATAAAATAGAGAGAGAACAATAGGATTAAAAATATTCTATCAAATGTGAAAGAAATCATAAATTATTACAATTAATGTAGATGTTATAATTTAATAAGAATCTTATAATTTTATACTTCTATATAAATAAATTGATGATCTAATATCTGTATTTATTTGTCAGGAGGATTTGGTATAGATTTTTCATGTAATGATAATGTGGAAGAAGGCATTGCTAAAGTAGCAAAGGGATTGTTGGAACATGGAGTAACATCCTTTTGCCCTACATTGGTTACATCTCCCACCGAGATATACCACAAAATCTTACCAAAAATAAAGAAACGAAATGGAGGTAGTCATGGTGCTGGTGTGCTGGGTGTTCATATAGAAGGACCATTTATTAGTCCAAACAAAAAAGGTGCCCATCCAGAACATTATATCAGAAAATTTGAACAGGTAATATCTATTCTGAGTAAATTTATAAAATAATCAATATATTGTGCTATATTTATATATATTTTCTAATAGGGATTTAAATCAGTAACTGATATGTATGGTGATCTAGACAATGTGTGCATGTTTACATTAGCACCTGAAATATCGAATGCTATATCTGTTATCGAAGAGTTATATAGAAGAAATATTAAAGTATCTCTTGGTAAGTTAAAGTTTTAATAGCTCTCAATGTTAATGTACTTTTATGCTATAATTAAGTGTAATTGTAAAGATTTCTTATTTTGAAGTTCTATATTTTAATTCTTATAATTTATATGCATTAAATTTCACCGATTGTTATAAAATTTCTTCTTAACTGAATTTGTATGGCTATTTGTATCTTCTAGGACATTCTATTGCAAATTTAAATGAAGGTGAAAAAGCAGTTAAACATGGAGCATCATTTATCACTCATTTATTCAATGCCATGTTGCCTGTGAGTTGTAAAATAGATATATGATACTGTTTAAAAATTACTTTTGTGCACAAGGAACGAAAGTTAATTATTTCCTAGTTTTCTAGATGCTGGAAATGATCTCGTTTATCAAATAATTCTATCATGTCATTTTTTGTAAAAATTTATAATTACTGTTGCAAGAGAGAAGGACTTACTTTAGCATATTTTGTTATATTATAACTATAATATTTGTTGCAGAAGTTTTATTACGATCAAAATTAAATATATTGTATTTTTAGTTTAAAGAAATTGTTTATCGATTATGGTTAATAAGATATTAATAATTAGTATAAGGTTTATCACACACATATAGTTGCGACATAGACTATCAAATATTAAAAATATTTTTTGAATTACGTTATTCGAACTTATTAAGACGCCGCTAAATCTGATAAATGTTGTAATAAAAAATATTTGACATAATAAACTAAAATAGTCCTACAATTTTAATCATAATTTTTTATTTAATTGTGATGTGATAGAGATTTCGTAAATTCGGAATCGTATTCAGCGTCAATAATACTAAAATATGATTACCTTTGTTCGCTCTCTCTCTTTCTCTCACAGTTTTTTAAATTAAACAGCCGATTTATATTTTTTAGAAATCTTTTATATATAGTATTTTTCAATTATAGTTTCATCATAGAGATCCAGGATTGGTTGGTCTGTTAACATCCGACCAAATCCCGCCTGAAAGAATCATTCATTTTGGCATAATCGCCGATGGGATTCATACTCATCCTGCGGCATTGCGGATCGCTCATAGAACGCATCCCGAAGGTTCGCTATTTTACTATATGCATCTATACTTTCTTATTTTATAATGTGTCGTTACAATTTTAATAAAATTGAACTGTAAAAATTTGTAGGTCTGGTGCTTGTAACTGATGCGATATCAGCGTTGGGTCTAGAAGAGGGAATCCATCAATTAGGACAGTTTAAAATAGAGATACGTAAAGGATGCGCATATATTGCTGAAACAAATACTCTCTGTGGTAGCATAACCGAGCTTTCCAAATGTGTGAGGCACTTTAAAGAAGCTACAGGTAAATTAAATTATACTAATAATAAAGTCGTAAAGTCGTAAATCATTATATTTAAAGTAACACTTATACAAGTAGCAATTGTTTGATGTAGGTTGCACAGTAGTTGAGGCTTTAGAAGCGGCGACTTTACATCCCGCGAGAACTCTCGGTATCGATTCTTACAAAGGTGTTCTGAATTTTGGGGCCGACGCTGATTTCATATTACTTGATGAAAAACTCGAAGTATTGTCAACATGGATTTCAGGAGACTGTGTTTATGAGAAGAATATTAGCAGTTTTTTTTTATGTGAAACAATTTGATGCTTGAATGTAAGTAGATATCTTAATATATAAATCCGAATCAATTATTTTATAAAGCAAATGGATATATTTTATGACTGGACGCTGTATAAAATGATAGTGAAAGACTCATGAGAGAGACTATTATAATAAAAAGACTTAAGAGTCACCATAGCCATATAGAATCGTAACGTCAGAAGTGAGAAGTGACACGTTAATTTTTATTAATCATGCCATTTATGAATAAAAATAACTTATGAATAAGGATAAAACAAAATTATGAGATTTCTTTAAAACATTTATAAAAATAGACAAAAACTGTTCTTATCCCCCCCGATAGTCAGTAAATAGTTGAAAAGGCACGTGTAAGTGAAAATGAATTACACATGTGCATTGAATAAAAACACTTTATGTGCTTTTTGTTACTTTTTACGATTATTTACTAACTACCAGAGGAATAAGGATAGCTTTCGTCCATTTAATATGGCTGTAATGACTACTCAGAAGTCTTGAACTTATTCCAGAAAATAGTTTTGTACTTATACTGAAATTTTTATATATTTATACTCATAATTTTTTATTTAAATAATAAATTTATCATTTTATAAAAAATGGATATAAAGTTGTTATATATGTGTATATATGTATATATATATATATGCAATTATAGAGGAATATAGGTTGCCTGTTAATGACCGAAAAGTTCTCTATCATCTCACAATTTTTGCAATATTTAACAAAATATTAATTTTTAATGATTAATTATTAACTATTGCGAAAATTGCAAAATAATGACAGGACTTTCCGACTTAGTTTAGTCCGCTCTACTTGCTCATGAGAGTTGATGTGGTTGTTACCGAATATCCTGTATATACAGGGTGTTCAAAAAAGATGGTACCAAATTTTAGCAATATATAGTACTCGTGAAAACAAATTGAAAGGTCTTAATAAGCAATACTCTAAAATCCATTTATTTCCGAGTTATAAAGCATTTTCTGTAATGAATAATCCGTTCATTTCGAATGTATGTAAATAAACGTATTTACACGCAACTGTTCGTCATACATTCATTCTTTACAAACTTCTAAAGATGACCCTACACTACGGTCAATAATATGATCAGTATTAACAAATACTGACAATATTATTGACAGTATTATTGACCGTGTATGATTAATATTGATGAATTGACGTAGGAACTACGCTCGTACAAACTATTGATAAAGACAATTTTTTTTAATCTTCTCCCTCAAAAAATTTTTTCATAATATTATAAAATTTCTTTGTATTAAAATATTATTTCATATTTTTGTAACGTAAAATGAATAATTTTCTGACTAAAAACTAAATTTGTTTTCAAAAAAATCGCTTTGTTTTGGTGTTAAAAAAAATGACAATTTCCTTTTCAAAATAATTAGGATTTTTTCAACGAGCATCTCTAAACTGTTTTTTTTTTCGTGAGGAATTATCCCTTAACGTGAATCTAGGTAATTTTTTTTCTTTCAACTCATTGAAAAATTATGATTTCTTTTTAACAATTAAAAAATTTCTATGTTTTTCCTTTGCATTTTGCTGTACAACACAATATTTGAAGAAAACAACATAATATTTGAGTTCAAAAACGTTGAGAATATATAATAGTAGAAAGATGTAAAATAATAAATTTTTCCTTTTTTTTTTTCATAACTAATTTATTAGAAGAAATGTGGTGCTGACATAAAAAAAGACCCACGGTTTATGACGTTAGTGAAAGACAACGGTTCATAAAGAGAGTTAATGTCATATTTATATAATGTCATATTTATATTTACAAAGGATGATGTTAAGTTTTGTCTGTTTTTTAGCCAAAATGAAAGAATTTCAAGATGTTAAATTAAATATTATATTAAAGCTACTTGAAGAAAGAAGGGCCATTATGAAATTGAGTGTATCGCTTAATAAAAATATTAAATATTTTAAGGGAAAATATTTAATATTTTTTGTAGATGAATTTCTTGTTTTCTTTTTTTCCAACATGAAGAAAAAAAGAGGAAAAGATGAACCATGCAAGAAATTCTACTAGAAAAAAAAACAGAACTATTGAGAATATGCAAAAAATCGTGACAAAATTCACTAATTTTAATGTTATTATATTTATTGATAAAAAATTGTAATTAAGATATTAAGACATTCTGGGCATTAAGCAACAAGAATTGTATGTTGTTAAACACGTATAATTTGTAAGAAATTTTTGAGCGTTATATTGTATTTGATTGTTTTTTAGATTTGTTTTTTCTTCCACATTCACACACACGATGTTACTCCATAATACACCACTCGAATCTATTTTAAATTTATAATATGATATATAATTATCACGTTTATATCACAACAACATTATAATTTGTATATCTCGAAATTTTTTGTCTTGGCAAAGAAAGAAACAAGCCTTAATATTCTCCTTTATACATATTATATTGCATAAAGTTTCTTTACATTAGTTGAAATATGACTGAAATTAACTACTACACAAGTAAATAATATCGAAATGTTCATACTATGTATATATTGTATTATCTTAGATTTATTTGTTATTTCAATGTACGATATATATTTAACTCGTATATATTTAAATTTTTGTTGTGCAACATAATAGTTATATCTAATTGTAAGCATGATATATTTTTATTTATTCTAGCAACGTTTTTCTGCGGAATTAGTAATAATTAATATAGTAAAGAAATAAAAAGAAAAATATATAAAACTTGATTGTTCTTAAAATTTGTTAATTGATCATGTCAAATAATAGAAAAGACTATGCTTTAGTTGATAAATTACTAATTATTACTAATTGCTGAATTAACAAACTGCATCCTTCAAATTACAAATATAAGGTGAATGCCTAATGCCAAATGTATGCGCAGGGGGAATGTCGAGAAGCACCTGAAATATAATAATAATTGCATTAATTAATTATGTATCATTATATTACATTATAATATATTATTGAATATTATTACGTTACATTTTTCAATTCTAAGGGCTATGGTAGAGAACGAAACAGGACGAGATGTAATTGTCGTAGTCGTGACGTAGAAGTAGGGTTGTTACTGCAAAGAAAAATGTAGACATACGCAGTTGTAAAACCTATTGGGAAAATACGTTTCGTTCTCTGCAATAGCTCCAGCAATGCGCTATTAGAATTACAAGGGGTGAACAATAATGTGAACATCTGGAAAATATATTACTTGTTTTATTAATAAAAAGTTAGCACATGATTTCTTTTAATAGGAATATCTTTATTTTGGAATAGAGTCATACAATAACTTGAATAATCTGCATTAGAGACAATAGATTTTGCTTTAGCTACGCGATACCTTTTCCGGGCAGTGTGCTCCAGGTCCTGGGATCTGCGAGTGATCGTCGGGCAGGGAAAAACGCGCACTCATGCTATATGCTGGACTTTTCACTCTGATTGTGTCTGGTTTAATGCACTCGTATGCACCCGGTCCAGGTACGAGAACACGGTCGTCCGTAAAGACTTTTTGCCTACCGGATATTGAATAGGCAGGTGCTGCTTTCTTATTACCCTCTTTAGTTCCGCCGAGGGCAGAAGGAATGTTATAGATATTGGGTGCTGAAATTTGATCAATCTATTTTCTTCTCCTCTCAGAATTTATAATTCTTTCCTTATTTAACAACCTTATCCACCATTTACGTCGTATTCTTTCTTTTTTTTTTTACATTTTTTTAGTATAGTCTTATCATAGCATATCTTCACGTGAAATTACATTTCTGACAAAGATTTGCATCTCATTAAATATTTTATAGAGTATAAAATGTACGAATAAAAATCGTCAAATTATTGAAAAGCAGAAATACACCAATTATCTATTGTAAAACTAATTATTGCGATTCTGTATTCCATGCATCTCAATATACGCGAATAAAATTAAGGCTATACTAACATGCTTTATATATAACATGCAATTTCATATTTACCGTAGATGGAATTGATTAATTATTTACCTGGAACATCGTTTGATCTGTGCAAGGGCGGTCTAAGGCCGAAAGTAAATTGCAACGCTTTTTCCAACAAAAGCATTGTCTTTTCTGGATTGTATTCGCCAGGACCTAGATTATTCATTGAATGATAGATTAATTTAAAAAATAATTTGTGCATTATATAATAAATTAAAAGAATCTAGGTGAAAAAATTCTCATAATGTCTCCTAATGTTTTACAGAATTTTTCATATTTTAAATTTATGAAAGTTTCTAAAATAATATCTTAAAATTTCTTTAAATTTTATAAATTTTCTTTAGAAATTATATAATGAGAAATCTTAAAATATATTAGAATTTA